TATGATTCGAGAGCTGGGTGATGCCGAATACAGTGTGGCGGGGAATCAGACTTATACAACAAAAAAAACTAAAGTCTTGTTTGTAGGCCTCAGCTCATGCATTTAAGTGGCATCGAAATCTGGAGATTGAGCTGTAAATAAGAGTGTGAATTGCTTGCTTAAAAAAAAGGAAAAATTTAACATCACAACTAGGGCTGGACGATTTATCGATTTCAAATCAAAATCGTGATTTGTAACAACGCGATTAGAAATCGCAAAGGCTGCGATTTCGGATATACATTATACAGCATGTCGGACCCAGGGTTTAAAACTGAGAATAATATAACAAATTCATTGGCGGTGCTCCCTGTATGACAGTCATTCTCACCACTCACAAGTGCCGTGCATCTTGTGTGCCAGTCATGCTCATCAAACAGAAGTGGCCCAAGAAGACTGCGTATACGCCCACAAAAAGCAAACACGTGAAACCCAAGGAAGATGTTGTATTCACGGTGCGGAAAAAATACTGATTCCGCTACTGAGCTATAAGTGAATTGCCTTCCTATTTCATGGTCCGAGATTGTTTCAGAAAGGTCCGATCTTCAGTAGAACTGACAACCTCCTTTTAAACACCAGCAGCGACATACTTCAGCGTATCATGCCTTTTGTTTTTGTTAATGGGCAACAGCATTAGCATACCGCTAACCCATCAAAACAACAACGAGACAGACAGTGATCCTCACAGCAGGGGAGTCGGTGACCCCCAAAAATGACGTAAAACCCATAATACAGTTGTGTTTGTCATATGTTTTTGTGCTTATTAATTTAAGTATTTCCAAACGTTAATCTTTGAAATTAATCTTAATCCCAAAACAGTAATAAAATAAAAGCCTCACTTTAACATGAATACTAAAAGAATAGCTCGCTTTAATCGCTATTACAGTTGGGTATGGGCTCGAGGTCTTATTATTTAGAAAAGATACAAAAAGAGACTCATATAATGTTTATTCATTTGTTTTGTATTTGTCCGAGTAAAAAAGCAAAGGAATGATAAGCTGCTTCATTCGAAAACTGCATTTTACTTCTCATTTCAAATGAAATGCAGGGTTGGCAACTTTGGTCAGCTGCATGGAGTGAGACTTTCTGTTCTCTGTTCTGCACACACATTTACATGTATGTAAAAGTTTTATTACCTTGTAAATAGTCTGTAGGGTTTGCAAACTACCCTAATGTTTTTGATGCAGCTAATTTTAAGTTCAGAATGGAATAATATAGATTTGCCGTAAGATTTCTTGCTTGAGAGTCTGAGTTTGCAACCCTGAACACGCACATTTTTTTTTTGTTTCACCTGAATTGATTTGTATAGAAAATACCCGTATACAGTTGTTGAAACAGCCACTCTGTTATGAACATTACAGTTTTTTGGTTGAGCGTTTGATTCGCTGCTGGTATTAACACTAATAACACATTAGCGCAAACAAAAGGGCTGCATACACTGAAGTAGTTCTTGCTTGTTGGCGTGGGAAAAGGTGGTTCTACTGTTATTATGGGGGTAATCAGCGTTACCTGCAAGATCGCTATTGTTTTTCTTTTTGCTGCAATTGTTTTCATTATTACTTTATTTGACTTAACAGACCACATGTTTAAATTCTCATCCTTGCGTTAGAATATAGGACAGTTAATATTTTGATGGTATCTCGTGGTAATGCTGCATCATATGTTTTTAAATTTACTACAGACTGAACATTGAACTGAAGCTTGACATAAAAAATTATATCGCAAATCAAATCATAATCACGAGGTCTGTCAGAAAAATCTCAATTAGATATTTTCCCCAAATCGTTCAGCCCTAATCACAACCTAATTTCACTTGGCATCTCCTAAATGCGCTACTGCATTTGTATTTAGTGTTGTATTTAGTGGGAAAGAGGCTACATCGCTTGTTAAAGAAGCAAGTTTGTTACAGCCTAATTTCAGTCGACCACTTACAATTAGGTTAAATGTGTTAGACTGCTAGTGGACCAATGATTTGAACATTTAAAAAAACCTGAACAAAATTGACAATAAATAAAGACACACAGGATAGTAACAAGTAGTAGTGCAATTCAGACCAGTGTGAGTACAATTCAGTACCAGATGGTTTGAGTCTGGCGTTTACACCCTGATGGTCTGCATCACATGAAAAGGGGCAGTACTTTCATGAGGCCATACTGACATGGGCATGATTTTGTTCCAACTGCGTTCAGAAAACCATGCGCACAGGCATTCCGCCTGATCCGTCGGTGCTATGGCTGCTATTTTCCAGACTTTGTCAATTTTTATTTAAAAAAATAATTAAAAAAAAATCCAGGCTAAAATGATTTGATTACAGTAATACAAACATTTACATCTATCCGTCCATTTTATGTAACTGCTTATCCAGTTCAGGGTTGCGGGGGATCCAGAATCTATCCTGGAGGCTACAGGTGCAAGGCAGGGAACAACCCAAGATTGGGCGCCAACCCATCCCAGTACAGAGATTTCCAACCATTAAAAAAATGATCTGGTCATAAAACGTTCAGGTCACTGAATGGCAAGTGTTTCCAGCCAACCACCTCGTAACACGGAGACTATCAACCCTCCCTTTTGACAGACTTCTTAACCATCCAATAATCTGCAGTCTTCTAAACAGGATGAAATTAATAACCAGTAAAAAGACAAGTTCAACACCATATCACAAGCCCCACCATATTTTAAAGCTGTGCTGCACAACAGCTTTATGGCACTAGTCACTGTCGTGGTGGGGCTGTGTGGCCGCTCAGTGGGACGGCATGCCAGGAATGACTTGTAAAACTTAGGATACAATGGATACCAGGAGTGGAATTAAACAAAATAAATAAATACAATTAAACACAGGTAAGGTGCTTTTATACTGTGTATTTTTCAGTTTTCAAGACTGGTGCTGGCATGGGTATGGCTGACCAAATTTTGCCGTCGCTGAACAAATCAAAGACAAATATTGATTTGTTCCCAAAGGTTTGAGCATTTCTGTGAGCATGAGTTTTTTTTTTTTTTTTTTATTTACAATTTCAGTTTAAGTACAATTGTTAGCAATTGGTTTGTGTTTAGTTAGTATCTCTAAGCATTTAAACCAGATCATGTCTGTGCATGTTGTGCAAGTGTTTAAGTGTTTTAAGCATTTTGTTTTGGAAGGGTCCTGTTGTTGTTGTGGTATTTTTCAAATAGGCGGCACAGGCTAAGGAGTGGAAACACATCTAGTAAAGTTTTTTACTTTAGGCCATGTTTTTAATAATTTATACACACATTCATAATGCATTATAATGCATTCATAAAGCATTACAAACATACCTATAAATATTAACAGCACCATTCATGAAAAATTGATTAACTGTAACGATTCTTTTAAAATGTAATTTAAAATCGATGCAATCGAATCTACAGGATTTCTGCTCAATGCATTAAGTAAACGAATGAATCATTACACCACTACTGTTAACACTTTTGAAAATCTTGAGAGATGTGTACTTCCTCTGCTGCTCCTTCCTAAAGCCCTTGACCATCTCCTTGGTCTTAGAGACATACAGGTCCAAGTTGTTAGCCAGCTACCACAGAGACAGCTCTTCTACCCTGCCCCGGTATGCTGTATCATTGCAGTTATATATCAAACCTACCACTACAGTGTCCTCTGCAAATTTCATGATGGTGTTGGACCTGTGTGGGGCTCGCAATGCATTAAGGCAACTTTAGTCAAGGTTGGTTTCCTTGATGGACAAAGTATGATTAATGGATTAATAAGTGCCAGCTTCCTCTCCCGTCAGCCATCTCCACGTTTCTAAGAAGTGTCCTTCAGCTCTGCCCGCTTATTTAATACTCATTTGAATGATTTGAAAGTAACTCCTTCCTCTGTCTCTCTGCAGTTGAGGTAAACGGCCAGGAAATAAGGTCACCTTATTTAATTGTGCAGCTAGCACTTTTAAGCCGAGCCGTTTAATAAATATGATTTTCGTTTTAATTATCAAACAAGATGCTTATATAAGTAATCTATCTTAATGTATATAGACATTAACAGGAGACATTATGTAATGAAAAGAGAAAAAAATGACTATCCATACATCCACTGACTTGTCTTTTTCCACTCATCTATCCATTAACTAAGCACTTATCGGGGTTAGGATCATACATAAAATAGTACAAAGAAACTCCTTGTTGCACATGTGTGTGAGTCCATGTAAATAGATTCAGAATTCAGTTATAGAAACTTTCAAACAGGCTTTAGGCTCGTGTCCATAAAATGAACTGAAATTCAGAAAGACAGCATCACAACAGAAGTGAAATGGCAGAAGCAGAAGCGTGGAGCCCATTGTAGCGTGAGGGGTGAGATGGGGCTAGTGAGTGTACAGGAGCACAGAACCTCGGGGGCAGGCGAGCTGGAGGAGGACTGAGAAAGGCGGGAGTCATGTGAAACAGGAAGGCTTGCGGCTCTGGGAGCCGAGACCGGCTGGCAGAGGAAGAGTGAGGAATGAAAGCACAGTGTGGCCTCCAGCCACCCAACCTGAGGGCCGTCCTTCATTTTTGCTCCGATTATAATTGAATGTTTAACAGAGGCTACAGCTTTGATCAGCAGATGATGGCCTGCGTTACCAAACAGGACTGCCATCCATGCCCCGCTGCTCTCCCCTTGTCAGTGGCTCTGCTGTCCTGACCATTAAGTGGCATTTCACTGAGCTCCATGTTTCCATATTTTGATTTTACTATGTATTACCAGGTCTTTCTGCCTTTCCATGCTCGAATCCCTGATCCATGTGCCAGAAAAAAACATTAAATAATGAAACAGCTGATTTCATTACATTTTAAAACAAAATAAGGAATTCTAATCCTGAAGAATCTTTGTAGAATGTCAGTCTATTTTTTTTTTAGACTGAACATCAAAGTATCAGTCAATGTCATGATTAAAATGCCACTTTGCTTGCTTATCATGGTTTCCATGCCTTAATTTAACATTTCTTCTCTTCTTCCTCTAGAAGGAGAGAGCTAGCAGCCTGGCCAAACTGGAGCCCATCTCCCCCGTAAGCCCGGCTCAGATGGATCCGGACCTGGACTTGATGCCGGCACGCTTCTCAAAGGAGGAGCTTATCCAGAACATGGACCGTGTGGACCGTGAGATCGCCATGGTGGAGCAGCAGATATGCAAGCTGCGTAAGAAACAGGTGCGCAGCCTTGGACTGGGGGGGAGGGGGGGTATTACCAGTGATGTTGTAGTGGGCATAGTCTTCGGGGTGGACACCATTGTGACCATTGTCGCAGTGGGCAAGTCATCAAAGCCATCACATCACAGTGGGCATAGTCATTTTGTGGCCATCGTCACATTAGGCATAGTCATCGTGGCCGTCATCGCAGTGGGCAATAGTCATCGTGGCCGTCATCGCAGTGGGCATAGTCATCGAGGCCAGCATCATGGTGGATGTCTGCATAACCATTGTTACAAAAGTCATCCTCGGCGTTGTCATCACGGTGAGCTGAGTCATGATGGGCGTTGTCCTCGCGGTGGACATAGTCATAGTAGGAGTTGTCCTCGCGGTGGACATAGTCATGGTAGGTGTTGTCCTCGCGGTGAGCATAGTCATGGTAGGCGTTGTCCTCGCGGTGGGCATAGTCATGGTAGGCGTTGTCCTCGCGGTGGGCATAGTCATGGTAGGCGTTGTCCTCGCGGTGGGAATGGTGGACATCGTGGGCGTTGCCCTTGCGGTGGAGAGAATCATCATGGATGTGGGCAGTGGGCATTTTCAACACAGTGGGCATTTTTCATTTACTTCAGTAGAAGCCCCCCCCCCCCCCCGGGCAGGATGAATCTGCAGCTAGTGAAGGAAAATGCAAAGAGAAAGTGAAATGGCATGTGTTCATCAAGAACATGAGTGAGATTATACTGAGCTCTGACTCACCAGTAGAGAATCCAGTGCCTCTGGCTTCAATCCCAGAGTTCCCTGTGTATAAACTCCTATCATCTCTGCACTTAATTAAATGCAGTCGCTAAGTAACATGTCATTAGACTTCATTCATTGTAGAAGGTGAGCCAGCCAGGGTGCGTGCAGGGCACCCAGATGGCCCAGAGGAACTGTTCTTCAGTGCTTGTGGGTTCAGCTGCATTTGCAGCTCTATTCTAAGGCTACAGATTCACCTTGTTTGCCTGCAGTGTAGGCAGGGAGGCTCGAGCATGATGTTTTCATTTGTCTGGGTTTGGGGAATCTATTCACACCAAATGAGGACGGTATTGGTGTCACTGACACACCCACACTGTCCCTCGGAGCCTTCTCTGACCTAATTGCTGCTCCCCAAGAGAAAGCTCCACCAAACTGCTTCATAGCAGAGTTAGGGAAGCGGTCCAGGAAATGGTGGGGATGCTTTAGGCTGCTCCTTTCTGAGTGGATACTGGTGTGCTCTGTCTGTCTGTCTGTCCCTCCCTCCCTCCGTCCGTCCGTCCCTCTCTCCCTCCCTCTCTCCCCCTCTTTCTCTCTCTCTCTCTCTCTCTCTCTCTCTCTCTCTCTCTCTGTAACCCTGTAACCCTGTTCCTGGGTGATCCAACCACTAGCGGACAGCACTAAATACGTCCGTTCACACCTGGTATTAACATGCGTCTCGACTGACTGCTTGTAATCTGATCTCCCTTTCCTGCAACTTATTTAAATATGCAGAATCTGGCAAACAATAAAAGAAGGAGCTATTGGTGCATTCCAGGTTAAACAAACCGCCTAAGATGTTTGTAATGAACGCCATGATACTGAAAAGGAAGCAAATAAATATATTTAGAAATGAATGAATTAAGAAATATTTCAATAATATATGTCCTTATTTTTAAATAATTCCATATTATATTTCTTAACTATGCATAATCTTTAAATTGTATTTTGTAATAACGTTGTGATTTTCATTCGACTGTCATTATTATAAAATGTTATTTCACATAGTGAAAATGTGATTTCTTAATTCATAATTCAAATCATATTTCACAATAAAGTTCAACTTTTCACGTCGTAGGCATGTATTTATACTGCATCAACGGGAAAAAATATGTGTTCAAATGGTCTTTCAGTACTTTGGTTAATACTTTTCTATTCAATGGCAAAGGGTATTGTCTGTAATGCATTATGTTGGTTGCCATATGATAATATTTTGGCTTTATATCATAACCAATGAAGGTCAAAAATTTTGTCTGATACACTGAATTATATGTCTGACTTGGAGCAAGTGAAGTAAAAGAAGTGAAGTAGTCAGGGCTGGAGTGGGACTGAATTTCTGACTGGGAGTTCAAGCCCCCAGACAGACCAATTTAAAACTATATAAACAATCACTAGTATATGTTTCTTTTAACATATTCATTATCTAGGTTATTGAACGCACATTCTTACCTACATGCTTTAATTTTTTATGTAATTTTTACTGGCATGTTTCACCAATATTAATAAACTGTGGCGCAGTTTTGACAGGAAGCTTCATAAAAGTGCACATTAAATTATTAAATGACGCGTGCAAATTTCAAAACATCTTTAATAAATAAACAATTTATTTTTCCTAAATTTGCACGGAACACTAATGATGCACACTTTGACAGTGTTTCCATGCAGTCCTATGTGGCAGGCCATATGCGTCCCAGACCACCTCTGTGGTTTGAGCGATCGGATCTCGATGCATTTTCAATGTGTTTTGGGTGTGTTCACGCCTGTATTTTGCGCTGACCACTTGTGATTGGATCACTCAGGATACATGTTAATACCAGGTGTGAACAGGGCCAATGTGTCTCTCTCTCTTTCTGTCTGTCTCTTCTCTTTCTTTCTTTCTTTCTTCCTTCATTTTTGGGGTAGGGTGTATAGGGTTTGGAAGTATGTTAGGGGTCAGGTATATGGGATTTTACTACGTGTAGGGGTAGGGAATATAGGGTTCAGATGCATGTTAGGGGTTGGGTATATAGAGTTTGCATGCGTGTTAATGGTAAGGTTGACGCTTTTTTTATTTCTCTCCTCTTCTATAACACCTGCAGCATCAGCTGGAGGAGGATGCAGCCAAACCACAGGAGCCAGAGCCACCCATGTCCCCCCCGCCCAGCGAGGCCAAGCACCGGAGCCTTGTCCAGATCATCTATGATGAGAACAGGGTGAGCAAATAATCCCAAATAATCTCCCGGTGCTGTTTGGTGTATGAACCATGGCTTTTAGCTGTGGAGAGCAAAGAAACATCACATCATCACCTGTCAACGCTGCCCCCGCTCTGCCGCGTCCACTTCAGCACACTGTCTGGCTTTGGAATTCGTGGTCCGGATCATTTGGAATTTGGGGTTCCCGCTCCACCACGTCCACTTCGGCACCATGCCCGATTCATTTGGAATTCGGGTTTCCCGCTCCGCCGCGTCCACTTCGGCACCATGCCCGGTTCATTTGGAATTCGGGGTGCTCGCTTTGTCGCTTGCACTTTGGCACCTTGCCTGGCTTTGGAATTCGTGGTCCTCACTCTTCCGCATCCACTGTGCCCGGTTTTAGAATTTGGGGTCCTCGCTCTGCCGCTTTCACTTCGACATCATGGCCAGCTTTGGAATGTATCATTTGCCCACTGGCTCTTCGGTGCTTTGCTGGTATCATTTTCTTGTTTTGGTGCTTGTCTTTGATCACTAGGTGGAGCAATATGAGGATAAGTTGCTCCCTGCAGTGCCTGTCTTTCACCACAGGGTGATCATGGTCCTTCCGCTTTTTCATGCCCCCTTCGAGGGTCTCTGGCAGTCTACTGTAAACCAAAATTGTCTGGATTGCACCTCAGCTGCTTGGCAGACCACAGCCATCGCTTCCCCTGGGTCTTCTGCATTCCTCCCCCTGCCCCCCTTTGCACACACAGCCGTAAGTGACCTGGTTGACCTTCTGGCAGTGGTTGGGGACTAACCTGCATGTATCTGCCTGTAGCTGGAAATCAGCAAGACCAGATCATGCTTTTGAGAATCTGGAGCAGAAAATGGGAACATGGCCATTTAACATATAAAGATTTTGTTTTTACTGAAACATATTGAGTGGGATTATATTTGAATATGAATTTACTGTGCTGTTTTTTTGTGTGTTCTCTGTTTCTTCCCCATTAACTGTCTGTTAAAATGTTGGACTTACTTCCATGTTTCTGTAATGAGGAAGTGTGTTTTTCATGTGCCGTGTTTGTGGTAGACCACCATGAACTGCGGGTGGGGGGGGGTCATGTTTCACTAAAGTGAATGTTCAGACAGCTCCTCATTTAGGCAAAGGGCTTTGTTGTTATTTTTATGAAACATGCCATTTTCTTTTAAAACAAAAAGTTGTTTAATTGGGAAAAATGTGTGTGTGTGTTACTAGTATCCATGCCATTCTGGCAAGTCTGTAGAAATTGTGTCATAGAGACGAGGATGTGAGGATGGTGTTTGACTTCTCTTGCACTCGCTGACTCTGCCTGGTCCAGCTACAATGCTGCTGATGTTCAGAGTGAGCTTTAGCCTGGTGGCACTGTGTGATATTCAGGTAGGGTTAGGATTGGGGGCTCACGGGGGAGAGGGGAGGCTGTTAGGGTCAGCGTGTGGGGGCTCACGGGGGAGAGGGGAGACTGTTAGGGTCAGCGCGTGGGGGCTCACGGGAGGGAG